CCCCCCCCCCCCCCCCCCCCCCCCCCCCCCCTTAATCCACATGTATTACCTTCTTCACGCGAACACTACGGCCCTTCATCATGGTCGATCGTATGCCACCGTCGTCCCTCGAACATAACGCACCCCGATCATGATATATCCATCTTTCCGATCCGATACATTCGAGACGAGGGTGCCTTGTGTTCGGGGGAGGACGGCGGCTGTCTGTCTCGCTGTGACGGACAGTTCCGTTGATGACGAGGGTGCGTTGTGTTTGAAGGAAGAACTTATCAGGGCGGAGGCTTCACAAGCAAAGAGGATTGGATTTAACGTGTCTGAATCTGGACGTGTATGTAGGCAGGTGCAGAGTACCGGGCTTGATCTGCATATCTTCACATCTCTGAGCCACAATTCCGTAATGATGAGGGTGCACTGTGTTTGGAGAAAGAACGTAGCAGGGCGGAGATCCCACTAGCAAAGAGGATCATTGGATTGAACGTCTGAATCTGGACGTGTATGTAAGATTTGGAATTAACGTCTGAATCTGGACGTGTATGTCAGCAGGTGCAGAATGCCGGCCTTGATCTGCTTCTCTGCATCTCTGACTCAGAATTCCCTGACGATAAAAACAAAGGCACGGGCGAGGTCCCACTAGCAACGAGGACTGGATTTCACGTCCGAATCTGGACGTGTTTGTGGAGCGGTGCAGAGTACCGGGACTAATCTGTATTTCACGTCCAGATGCACGCGCTTAGTGGGACCTCGCCCCAGATGATGCGCCTCTGGCTCTTTTTTTTTGATAAATTTACTTAGTAGTATAAATAAATGGGTTGTGAAAGAGGAAAACAAAAAAATAAAAAATGCATTGTTCTTAAAAAAAAAACAAAAAAAACACGAACCTTCGGATGTGTCGCGGCTGGAAATCGAACGCCCTTTGCGTAAGAGAGCGCGTTGACCATTCCTTGGCATATTTACGAAGTATATATATTATATGATAAATTAATAATATAATGTTTTATTTTTTATTGTTTCCGCGTGAGAAAAACACCAGGGGGGGCAAATTCTATTTTTAACTTTTTTAATTCGAATTTTCTGATTATTACCTGCTACGTTAGCGACCATATTTTGTACAGGTCATCATCCTACCGTCGTCCTCCGAATAGAACGTACGGAAATTATAACTGTTAGAACGTACGGTAATTCGAGCTGCTGTATAGGGGCAAGCTTTCAGTCTAGGTACAGCGATAATGACCGTACCTTCTATTCGGGGGAAGACGAGACGGTTCGGAGTAGTGTTTAATTAATTTTAATATGTATATAATGGATATATACTATATATATCGTCACAAATAGAACTGCCCGGTAAACCGTAGGCAGAGAGAGAGAAGAGGACAACAAACGAGGGGCTGTGACAAACTGTTTCGTCGGAGTTTCACCGACTCATCAGGAGGCTGAACCCTCCACCCCATTACAAGCCAGCAAAACATCCACGAAACAAAGAAAGGTCTGTCACAGCCAAAAAATACACTCCAGACACGCCGCTGGCATATATAATGTGGCAATATAGCTCTCTGCTTTTGCAGATGATGCGGCGAGCGTCGGGCCTGTACTAGCAGGCTTTCCTTTGCTTATGGTAGAAAATAATTTTGATTCTGTCTTTACTGCTTATTTTTCCCCGTGGTTGGGGGTACTCCGTTTTGCGGACCTACTGTATGGTTCCGTTTTTTACCTATGGATATGGCAGATTTTGTTTTGGTTATTGTCTTCGCATCCTGGTTGGTTGTTTCCGGTTGTTCGGCCTATGGTGCAGGGGCGGTGCTTATATGTAGGAAATGACATCCGGGATTGTCAGTCTTTCGTGTTTTCCCGGATGGTTTTGTCCTGTTGTTCGGTCTATTTGGCGGGGCGGTGCTTTCATGTGGGACCAATCATCCGGGTTCTGGTCTTGCCTTGGGATGTATTGTTGTCGTATTCGTAGATTTTGTCACACTGGATCGGAGCTTATTGTGTTTTTCAATTGCATATCTGTCGGTGGTGTTGAAGGCTTTATTCAAGTTTATTGTGTTTTCTTTCTTGACAGTGCACGTAAGAATCCATTTGGGTCGAAAATAGCCTGAATCATCGTCCTGTCATCCCACATTTTTTTGACTATGGTTATGGTAGATTTGTTGTGGTAATCTTGTCTGCATCCCGGTTGGTTTTGTCCCATTATTTAGCAAGTAGCTGTGCTTCATGTGGGATCAATCATCCCGGTTTTTTATTGTCTTGGCATCGTGGTTGGTTGTTTCCCGTTGTTCGGCCTTTTGGAGCACGGGGCGGTGCTTGTATGTGGGGATCGTCATCCGGGATTGTCTTTTATACCGGTTTTCTGGGTTCTTTTTGAATTTTTTTGCAGACAAGAATATTTTGACATCCTGGTTGGTTTTGTCCCGTCGTTTGGCCTGTGGACAGGGGCGGTGCTTGCATGTGGGACTTGTCATCTGGGATCTGTTTTGTTGCCCCCTGTTCTGTATTATTTGGCTGTTCCCTTCCTCTTTTCTTTGCCTCTTTGCCTTCTGGCTGTGTGCAAGTGGGACGATATGACACACGGGGGTGGGGGCAGCCGCCGCTCAACCTACATCCACGTGGGCGGCCTTGTACGCAAGAGGTTCTGAACAGGGGGAGTTGTAAGGAAGAAGATTAAATCATGAATTCATCTTTTCCTGTTTTCCTTCTTTCTTTCTTTCTTTTTTCTTTTTTTCGCTTTTGCGCTCTGATATGTTTGTGACGATATATATATGTACACATCTTCGGAATAATAGATAGGAAATGCGGAGCAAGTCTTTTTTTTTGGGATAGAACGGACGGAATTTTTTGGGGGAGGCTTGAAAAGAGTGCATTGGGGGCAAAAAATGCAAAAGGAAAAAAAAAAAGAAAAAGAACGAAGGAAGAAAAGGGAGAAAAAGGCAAAGAAAAATAAAGAGAAAAGAAAGCAAGGTCGTTTTTTGGGATAGATCGGACGGAAAATTTCGGCGTGGCCTGAAAAAGTGCATTGGGTGCGAACGTAAAAGCGAAAAAAAAGAAAAAGAAAAAGAAAAGGAGAAAACGAAAATAGATAAAAGGGGGAAAAAAGGAAAAGAAAAGTAGTGGGAAAAAAAAAAAAAAAAACACCGTATAGGGGGCATAAGGACGGACATTATGAATTCTTTCTCGTAATAGTGAGGACTCTGAGGAGAAGTGACGTGCAAATTTCTAGGCATCCGATTTGCTGAGAGGAGCACGCAGGGGGAGAGGGAGGGGGAGGAGGAGGAGGAGGAGGAGGACAGCGAGAGGGCGAGGAGGAAAGCGTTCCGGCGTTCTTGTGCTGAATTTCCTCATTGAGAGTAGAGGGTGTATAAGAAGATAAATTAAGCAAAATAAAGATTAAACAAAAGTAAAGATCAAACAAAAAACGAAGATTAAACAAAATAAAATAAAGTTAACAACAAGAGAATTGGGAGGGTTTAAAAGAAGCGAAATAAGCAAAAGACAGTCTTTTGACGACGGAAAGTTTTGTGTATGGGGATGTTGAACCTGCAGTTAAAAAAACAAAAACAAAATAAAGATTGAACAAAATAAAGTGAACAACAACAGACTTAGGAGGAGGAACAGAAAGAAGAGAAATAAACAAAAATGGAAATGAAAATAAGCGAAAGAAAATGTGTCGACGTGGAAAAGTTTTTGTGTGTGTGGGGATGGAGAACCTGTAGTTAAGAAATTGAGCGAAGTAAGGATTAAACAAATAAAGTTAACGACGACATATTAATTAGTAGGAATAAAATGAATAGAAATAAGCAGGATGAAAATGAAAATAAGCCAAATGAAAACAACTTTAAATAAGCAAACAGAAAATATTTCAACGCGGAAAAGTTTTGTGTATGTGATTGGAGAACCTGCGGTTATCCAATCAGTGATGAGCTTTTTTTTTTTTTTTTTTTTGGTGATCAGCATTCTCGATGTATCGTCGTCCTTTATTCTCTCCTCGTGAACTTTGAAAGAAAATCACCCCTTTTTTCTCTCCCCTCAAACTTAAAAAAAAAAAAAAAATCCTTCCCTTTTTATTTTCAAAGACGTTTGTAAGTCGTTACTGATTGAATTGTCCTTGTTTGCTTCTTTGTTTATGTTTTCTTTTTTCTCCTCTCTCTCTCTCTCTCTCTCTCTCTCTCTCACGTTTTTCCTATATCGTTTTTTCTTTTTTTGATTGGCTGCAGGACCTCCTGGAACAGGCAAGGTAACGTGCGAGACCATGACCTTGTGATTCCTTCTTTTTTTTTTTTTTTTTGGTTAAGCTGCGTTCTCGTCATCGGGGGCTGCCATATAATTTTTCTCTCACCTCACATATTGTCGTTTAACTGGCGTTATGCCATGTCAGCATGGAACATCTCTTTCTTTCGCTACCTACCTATCACTACTCCTAAGGCTATAGAGGTGACCCCTCCAAGCATATCTTTTTTCTACCTTTACCTCTCTCTCGGAGGTTACCTCTCTCAGTGGAGAGAGAGGTTACGGCATGTTTGCCCCTTTGCCCTAGGGTTTAGGGTGCAGGGTTGGGGCCCCACAGGCGGGGCCCCAAGCTAACACAAGGTCGGAGCATTGGCCAGTAAGTAACTGTGCCTGCCCCCCTTTTTGATCGTCCCCCACCGCCATCGAGTTAACAGTAGTGTCAAAAGAGTAAAAGACTCTAGTCTAAAGCCCACACTCTCCCCCACACCACACACAACCCACTCACACCCGCACTACCCACTCACACACCCGTGTTGGCTGAAGACCTTACTGATACCAACTGGGAGGATCCAGCTGAGTGTCTCCGTTGGTTGGCACCAAGAGTGCCACGGGCGGCCGTGGGGTTTGAACCCACGGCCTCCTGAATGCCCCTCTTGTCTGCCTAACCAATTGAGCTAGGCCGCTGGATGTCCTTGTGTTTTTTTTTTTTTTTTTTTTGACAAGGTATCCTTCTAAAATTCCAATGAAAGAATTGAGACGAAGAAGAAGGTAAGCAATGGCCAAATTGCTCTGCACACGCAGTCCATAAAAAAGGCGTTTCTTACATACGTGTGTACTGCTCAAACGCCTCTTGCTTGTTTGATTTTGATTGATGAAAGAATTTGAAAGATAGAATAAGACTTGAAAAAAGAAAAGTGAACTAATACTAATCGGCAACATTCCAATAATGACGGCCAGAGGGAATTTATTATTAATGGAGCTTGTACAGTTGTAGTTAACCAAATTCTACGTAGTCCAGGACTCTGAACCATTTATTTGGGACTTCTGAAGGTGCAGGCACTGCTATACTTACCTTCTTGGGAGGCTTTCAGTTTGTGGCAATTTTTTGTCCATTTTTGTTTTTTATGCACCTAACGTATTGGGACATCCTGACAATTATATACCTGCAAATCCTATGTCAACTCCAGCTCACATAGTGCCAGAATGGTAATGGATACTTAATCAATATGATATACTTATAAAAAAAATCTCTTTGTTTTTCTTCATTGAATGAATTCGAATTCAAAATGAGGATCCCAGATTGCATGAGCAATTGGACGTACGTGTAAAGGGTCTTGTACCCATTATTCAAAATTACCTGCACGCGTCCGTCGCAATTCGACCCCGAAAAAAACAAACAAACCAATTCGACCCGGGGTTATCCTGGCAGCACTGGCCAGTTAGTTATTTATCGCATCAGACTGACTTGGTAGGTACCCTTTAGGGCATCGCCACACCACTCTCGAAATGTGCAAAATGTGCACAATGGGAATGAACTTTCCGCTAGAACATGGCCAGATGCACCCGCCACATTTTTGTCTTTTTCACATTTCGAGAGTGGTGTGGCGAGGCCCTTACTGTCCATCTTTTTTTTTTTTTTTTTTTGGGGGGGGGTAGCCTGCTGTTTTCCAACACCTTTCCTCTTTTTTCTTTTGTTTGTTCAGTTTTCATTCATTTGTTGCTTTGCTTGGTTTGTTTTCTGTTGTCTGTTTGTGTGTGTTTAAGGGGTTTTTTGGTCTTTTTTTTTTTTACCTTGCTTTGTTTATGGTGCCGCTCTGTTGTCACTTAGCATGGCGGCTTTTCGCTGATTTCTCGCGTAGCATGGGGTCTCGCTCCGCTACCGTCGTCACCCGAATAGAACGCCCGGTCATTATCGCTGCGTCTGGACTGAAAGTTGGGCCAAATGCAGCTATAATTACGGGGCATTCTGTTCGGGTGAAGATGGTACGCACCAAATCTGCATAACGAGGCTGAATCTTCCACTAGAACATGGAAATATACATCGCCATATTTTGTCTTTTGTGCATGTGGTCAGTAGTGAAGCGAGGCGCATGGTTACACTTTTGTAACGTCCACTGGCAACCCTGTCGTTGTATAGCGAGTTTTTTTTTTTTTTTTTTTTTTTTTTTTTAAGCGAGTAATTTTACGAGACTGGGCCTCACTCCACTACTCACCGAATGTGCGAAATGATAATGAATCTTCCCCTAGAACATGGGAAGATACACCGCCATGTTTTTTTGTCTTTTGTGCATGTGGTCAGTAGTGGATCGAGGGCCATTGATGAAGCTGACATACATCGCGTGTGGAACTGTTTCTGCGTTGAGATTGTGAGTTTTTTTTTTTTTTTTTTCCCGTACGTAAGGGAACGAACTGTGGATGTGATTACTGTTAGGTGCATCCAGGTTGGGCCGTAATTGCAGTCAGATACATTTAGTAAAGTGCTCGTGTGAGTATGGACTCCCCCTAACCCAACGCACCCTTATTCTGGCCGTATCAGACCGCAAAGATGGATTGTGTTCATGCATGATGAGGAAAGATGGATTGTGTTCATGCATGATGAGGGTGCGCTGTGTTTGGGGAAAATGTGCGGTGCTCTGCTTTATGTCATTGTGTTCCCCCCGGACACAATACTCCCTCAATATGACCGTATCGGGCGGGAAAGATAGCTTGTATTCAGTCATTCGTGATCGATGTGCGTTGTGTTCGGCAGAGGGGAATGTTTCGGTGCCTTGCTTGACGCTATCGTCGTCCCGCGAACACAAACACACCCTCATTATGACCGTATCGGGCTGGAAACATAGCTCCTATACATTCCTTCATCATTGGGGTGCGTTGTGTTCGGGGTAAGAGGGTAGAGTAGCTGATTCGAAGGATACCTTCTCGGACGGACTTGTTTGTGTGGTTGAATATAAGAGGTGCTAGGCTACTGTTAAAAAAGAAGGAAACTGTAAAACAAAAAAAAAAAAACAAACGTAAAATTGTAAAATACCTTAACTTTTTGGGGTGAAAGACTTGCACAAGGATCTTCTTGTGCGGTCATGCTGACACTAGCACGTACAATCGCAAATTATATGTGAGCCAATTTGCGATTTGTGATTATACGGCACTTCCCAGTCATGCAGCACACCCGTATATTTCACAAAACAGGAAGGACACAGTCTCGACCTGCTCTAGGAATGCGATTATGCGGGCCGAGGGGTCACACAGCACGATGCATAAAAATTCATTCCGTTTTCCTGTTTTTTTTCTTTTTCTTTTCCCCCCCTTACAAGAGCTGCCCACCAAACGTCGAATTCTCTTTTTTTGTTTCCAGAAAGAAACAGGTCTAAAAGAAATATGCAATTGCGGGGACCTCCAGAGGTTCCCGCAAAACACGTAATACGTAACCCTGCCTGCGACTGTCCAAGCCGCTGACATTTATGTGCCCATTTGAGTGAAAATGCAAAATACGTGGCCATTGTGACCCAAAAATCACCTACAATTTACAATTTTATGAAAATGCGTGCGAGTTTGAGTATGCTCTGAAATGCGTATAGTCGGTGAAACTCCAAGGAAACAGTTTGTCACAGACCTTCTTTTTTTGTCCTCTTCTCTCTCTCTGCCTACGGTTTACCTGGCAATTATGGTTGATGATATACAGTATATACACATATATGAGTCGTGTTGGTCTTGTCCCGTCGTTTGGCCTGTGACGGAAGGGGCGGTGCTTGCATGTGGGTGTTATCCAGGATCTGTTTATGTTTGTTTCCCCCTGTTTTGTTATATTTGGCTGTTCCCTTCCTGTTTCTTTGCCTCTTTGCCTTTTGGCTGTGTGCAAGTGGGTCGAGGGGGTGGGGGCACCTGCTGCTCAACCTACATCCACGTGGGCGGGGCCGTGTACGCAAAAGAGGTTTTGAACAGGGGGAGTTGTAAGTAAGAAGATAAAAAATGAAATGATTTTTTTCTTGTTGTTTTTTCGCTTTTGCGCTCTGATATCCTTGTGACCAGGGTTGCCGGCGTTCGGGAAGGGTCGAACGCCCGAACGGTCGGGACTCCCTCTCGACGTGTTCGGCCGTTCGGCCGAATGCGGATCCAAAAAAAAAAAAAAAAAAAAAAAAAAAAANAAAAAAAAAAAAAAAAGAATTCCAAAAAATCTGAAAACAATATATGTTATGCAGAAGAATAAACTAAACAACATTTGCCTCAACGTTACATCCAAATTCTTTACCAAATTTGAAATAAAGATCACATATACTAAAGATAAATATTAAGTAATAATAATGGAAGTTAGGAAAAAAAAGGAGAATGAAATTATTGAGTGGGCGAGCACGTTTTTGACACCGCCATCTTTGGCTATTTTTCTTTTTTTTTTTGGCTGTGACAAGTCACAAATGTCTTCCTGGGCTTACTTGGCACCCGCTACCCAAGAGATAGACCACTGGATCCCCCGATCGGCATCAAGCAGAGTCTGCTATGTTCGTAGGGGAGGGGCCTGAGGGCAGGCATGGGGGATTGGTCCGCTTTATCCCTGGTGCTACCGGCCGTCCCCTGGCCGGTATCCTGCAGGCTCGAGGGGCCGTAAAAACACGGTTCTGGTATGCTACGGGTTTCCCCGTATGCCTATAGGTAGGAGTAGTGGTAGGTAGGTAGTGTGAGGAAAAAATTGAGAGAAGAGAAAATAATTTTTTTTTTTTTACATGTGTAGCTTATATAATAGAGAATTTACATATAGAGTTTGAAAAAATAATAATTTTTTTCATGCCCCGAAATAAAGAAAAAACAAAAAGTGGAAAAAAAAGAAAAACAAATTAGTGAGTGGGCAAGCAAGTTTTGACACCACCATCTTTGCCGATTTTTCATGTTTTTTTTGGCTAAACAGAATGGCTTCAAAATTAAGAGGGAGATACCTTACATCACGAAGAACTCACACAAAAAAATTCAGAAAAAAAATAAAATATTTAGGTGCCAAAATATTCTTTTGCGGGGAGCCGAACGCCTTCAGGTTCGGGCCCTGTACGGGGACCCGAACGCCCGAACGTTCGGGGGTCATCTTAGGGGCCTCCGTACGTTCGGCCTGGCAACCCTGCTTGTGACGATATATATGAGTCTGTGAAACTCCGACGAAACAGTTTGTCACAGCCCCTCGTTTGTTGTCCTCTTCTCCCTCTCTGCGTACGGCTTATCGGGCAGCTCTGTTTGACTATATATATGGTGTTTTGTTTTTTTTTTCGTTTTTTTTTTTTGTGCAGACCTACATAGGAACGAAGCTGGTCAGCCTGCTGCTACACAATGCGTCGTCATCCTCATCACTGCCTTATGGACCACGAACAGGACCTCAAATTGAACCCATCTTGTGCGTATGTTACACCAACCATGCCCTGGATCAGTTTCTGGAAGGATTGATGGACCAAGGTGTGAAGAGGATTGTCCGTGTGGGGCGGCGGTCTAAGAATCCAAGGTTAGAAAAATTCAATCTGGAAGAAATCTGGAAGGTGGAGGCGGGAGATTACCGCTATAGATTCAGAGAGTTGCGCACAGAGGAGTTCACGATACGCACGGAGATGGACGCCCTGAAGAAGGAGATCAACATGGATATGGAGGACCTGATCTCGATCGGGAGTCGGGATTGGGAATCCATGACCCCTTCGGAGCAGTGGGGCAGGCTCCAGCGGTTTCTCTGGACTGCGCATCCTCGTCAGTATGAGTCGCTGGTGAACGAGGAGTTGCGGGACCACCGAGGTGTTAAATCCATCATCATGGAAGATGCCGAAGAAGATGAGCACGTGCATGCAGCAGCAGCACCACCATCACCAGGAGGAGCAGATAGTATTGATGTCAACAGGCTGAATTCGACCACCACTACGATGGATGGTTTCACGGTCGCCAAAGGACGGGGCAGGCGGCAGCATGTCTTCAAGCGGTGGTTGGATGGGATGCCCTCTTCCTCGTTGAGATGGCGAGAAAATCAGTCGCGGAAAAATCAAAATCAACGGCGGAAAATCAAAATCAACAGCGGATTGGATTCTCGTCGTGGTGGGTGGAATGCCACGTCATCAGCAGGTGGAGATGGCGAAGCAGGTCGGAGAGCGAAGGGAAGCGATGATGATGGCTCGGGATTGAGACACCGGTTGCCAGAAGAACAGTCGGGACAGCCGAGTTCTGATCAGGAGGAGGAGAGTGACCTGATTGAGTACAGGTGCTCAAGCTTCTACTCCGCGCTCTGCGGCTTGGATCCTGAACCCTCTCCCCCACCTTCCTCCCCCTCCTCCCCCTCTTCCCCGATCTTTACCCCCCCCTCCCCTCAGTTCTCTTCTGATTGGTCATCCTCAGATCTGGTGCCTGTACCGCAAACAGAGGGAGAGGAGGTTGGAGCATCAAAGCCGCCGAGCTCATACCTTCGCCGCATTTTTAGCCGCATTTTTAGCCCGAAATCGGCTGCCACATCAGCAGCAGCTGCATCGGCAGGTCAATCCAGTGGACTAGCAGAAGATGAACCACAGCAGCAGGACGAGGAGGAGGAGGAGATTCGTCGTCAGCAGATGGTGGATCACCTGCAAGATTTTTGTGAACGGCGATCGCGACACGTACCTTCTGGTGGTCGTGGGGTGGTGGAGGCGGTTGGAGTGGTTAGTCGCTCCGCAGCTGATGGATTAGCGGGTCAATGCAGTAGCAGCAGCAGTCGCACCGTCAGCTCTTTGGCAACTTCATCTGACCACACTGCCAATGTGGCACGTAACGGCAGTGGCAGCACGATCAGCATCAGCAGCTCTTTGGCCACGTCATCGGCCAACAGTGCTGACGTGTCACCCTCTGCTAGTCGCTCCCTACTCCAAGTAGATGACGTTTGGAGCCTTAGTCGTGCCGAAAGACGCCAACTCTTTCAGATATGGCGAGAGGAGGAGTTCAGCATGCGGCTCAACGACCTGAGGGAAGACATGGAAAAGTTCTCAGGGTATGTAACGTTATTTGTTTTTGCCCCCTTGCTACAGTAGCTGATCGTTTGGTTGTTTTCTTGCGTTGTTTTCTTGAATGTCTTGATTCGTTTTGATTCCTCTCCTCGCCCCTGCACCTCCATAGCAATTTCGTTTGGTGCTGATATGTCGATTTGGTGCTCTTCCCACAGACTCACACCACGTCCTTTGGGACATCCGTTAGAATTGGAATGATACAGAGAAAGAAGATTAGCATGGCCCCTACGCAACGATGACAGACTTGCACCACCATAGACAAGATACCCCCC